GTGTTGACCCAGGTGCTGGACCTTGCCTCCCGCCTGGATGTCCTGCTGGCTCTTGCCAGTGCTGCCAGGGATTATGGCTACTCAAGGCCTCACTACACTCCCCAACTCCTTGGGGTCCGAATCCAGAATGGCAGGTGAGACAGAAAGGGGTGGAGGCATAGACAGTAGGAGCCCAGAGGCCCCATCCTCTGGGGACTCCATCCATCTGGATTCACAGGCCATGCATGTGTGTGGTACCTGTCCACCCTCTGCAGGCATCCCCTGATGGAACTTTGTGCCCAAACCTTTGTGCCCAACTCGGCAGAACGTGGTGATGACAAAGGGAGGGTCAAAGTCATCACCGGACCCAACTCCTCAGGGAAGAGCATATACCTCAAACAGGTCTGGAGAATCCCCCCAAACTGCGCCTCCAATGTCTTCTCCATTGTCTCCATCCCCGACCTGCCAGCCAACCCAGGTCCCTACAGCTCTTCTCCCTCTGTGTTCTGACCCCATGGGTCATGAGAAGACCATAACCCACACCCCCTGTTCCTGTCTCCTGTGTTCTCATTCCCTACAGGAGGGACAGCCATGCTCAAAACAGATCTGTCTGAGACCTCAACTCCTTTCTCTGCCTCTGCATAGGTCCATCTTTATCAGTTTGGAGACAAAGGAGAAAAAAGTTGGGGTGGGGGCTGGAGGTGGGGTTAGGCAGGATGAGGACCAGGAATGCAAAGCCCATAGCTTTGAACCCTTGTACCCAGTTTCTCTCAGATCCACACAATTTCCAGGTGTGCCTCTGTCCACTCTTTATCCCTCTACTGATTGTAAAGTGAGTGGAAAAGGGCTTTCATCTTCTCCTAAACTGTGTCCATCTCTCCTTGATCTGCAATTCACCCCTCAGTTTAGCCTCACCTTCCCCTCAGCCCATACCATCAGGTCCCAGGCCCTGTCTCCCCCCATTCAGGTAGGCTTGATCACATTCATGGCCCTGGTGGGCAGCTTTGTGCCAGCAGAGGAAGCCGAAATCGGAGCAGTAGATGCCATCTTCACCCGAATTCACAGCTGTGAATCCGTCTCTCTTGGCCTCTCCACCTTCACGATCGACCTCAACCAGGTCAAAGGGAACAAAGGGAGGTGGGACTGGGGGAGGGGATTGATGGGCAAGGAACTCCAACCCTGAAAAATGATCAGAACAGGAAAAACATTCCCTCTGCTGCATACCCTCTATACTAGGAGCAGGGAGCATCCAGTTCAGAGACTGGGAGAATCAATCCTGTGACCCTTTGTGGAACCCTTGCTTCCTGTGAGGCACTGTTGGCAATGAAAGAATGAACAAAACATGTGCCTCACCTTTAAAGGACTTGCAGTCCAGTGGTGTGGACACATATGCAAGCAGCTTTAGTCACAGCTGACTGTGGTCAGTGGTTACAGGCCTCAAATACTAATGACTCCCTTGTCCACCTGGTGCCCAGCAGGTGGCGAAAGCAGTGAACAATGCCACTGAACAGTCTCTGGTCCTTATTGATGAATTTGGAAAGGGAACCAACACGGTGAGGGGAGAAACTGATGAGGAACTAAGGAGGGGGGATGGGGGAGGATGAAAGAGCATGAGGGTGAGTATGAGCCTCTGGAAAAGAATGGGGGTGTGAGGGCATAAAAGAAACAGAAAAGTGCAAGATGGGAAAGGCCAGGGTGGGTGGAGAGGCACATGGGGTACCCATGGATCTTCACACTCACCCCTGCCCCCTACACAGGTGGATGGGCTCGCACTTCTGGCTGCTGTGCTCCGACACTGGCTAGCGCTTGGACCCACATGCCCCCATATCTTTGTAGCCACCAACTTTCTGAGTCTCGTTCAGCTACAGCTGCTGCCACAGGGGCCCCTTGTGCAGTATTTGGTGAGAAAATCAATCCTGTCCCTTAAGCCCCCAGCTGAGCATTTCCCAGAGCTGGGGACTGGCTCTTCCATCAGAACAGGGACACCCTGAGCACAGGTCCCTTCCCTTTTCTCACTCCTTACAAGGACTGGCCAAGGGTTTCAGAGCAGGAAACAGAGTGATTGATGACACGGTATCCCTTTTTATTCTCTTTTAAGACCATGGAGACCTGTGAGGATGGGAACGACCTTGTCTTCTTCTACCAGGTTTGCAAAGGTGTTGCCAGTGCCAGCCATGCCTCCCATACAGCTGCCCAGGCAGGGCTTCCTGAAACACTCATTGCTCGTGGCAAGGAGGTAAGATATGAGTACCAACCACCGTCAGGGCTCCTTGTTCCTGCTCCTCTCAGGGGCCTGGGTTTTTGGGCCCATGGGATTTCTGAGCCCTGTTTCTTCTCTCACCCACCTCCCCCCAATCCCCTCACCCCTACCTTCTTTTTTGTTGTAGGTCTCAGACTTGATCCGCAGTGGAAAACCCATCAAGCCTGTCAAGGAGTTGTTGAAGGAGAAGCAAATGGAAAAGTGAGTGTGTGCCCACTGTCCTGGTCTTCTCTAGCATGTTCTGCATCTTTTCTTCCCCTTCCAGGGATGCAGACAGCCTCTTTGCTCTTCAAAGTCCCACAGTTTATTTTGGAAATCCCAAAATGTTCAGGATCCTGGGTTTCCTATGCCGTAGTCTCTTCCCTCTGCTCAGGGACTCGGTTAGCCATCCTCCCATAAGTCTCACCATTCTCTCTCCTCTCAGTTGCCAGACACTAGTAGATAAGTTTCTGAACTTGGATTTGGAAGATCCCAACTTGGACCTGGACATGTTCATGAGCCAGGAAGTGCTGCCTGCTGCCACGACCATCCTCTGAGAGTCCTTTCTGGGCCCTCCTCCACATCCCAACACCCCCATGGGCTGCCGTGCCCTCTGTGTTCCCTTATTTCCTTCAGATCCAGAGTTGTTTCCCTAGAAATTTTGTTTCATATGAGGAATAAAGCTTACTGTGGAGAAAGTTCTTGTTTCTTGAGACCAGCACAACCTCCAGATGGTCCTGCCTGCCTCACTAAAAGCACAGTGACACTGTTGTGGGAAGACCCCTGGATTCTGCCCAGGGGGACTTCATAAGAACCAGCCACTTGAACAGACCCCTACAGAGATGAGAGGGGAGACAGAGGAGCCCAAGGGAGATGGTTTTTCCCCTTAGGTAGGAACACGCCAGCCTCAGACACACAGAGCAGGAAGGCTCGGTGGGGCTGAAAGGCAAGCTAGGATGGGTGCAAAGCAGGGTGAGGGGAGGGACCTGCCAAGCAGCCCAACTCTCTCTCTTCTGCAGAGCCAGGGTCCCAGTGGGCCGCCCCCTACATGGTTCTGCTGCTGCCCCTGGTTACAAGCCTGCAGGACCCAGAGGCCCGGAGCTTCTTCCTCTGGGTATTAGTCCAACAGGAGGGCCCAGGAGAAGCCCTGCTCCCCAGATCTGCCCCATATACTCCCACTCAATTTTGAGGACCCATAAGTCTCCCCCTGTGCTTCCCCATGCCCTCCAGGCCCTCCGTGGCCAGTGTGGGCTCACACTCAGTGGCCAGTGACAGGGGTTGAGAGAAAGGGCATGGCCCAGAGCCCTGCCGTGGAGCGAGTCAGACTCTGCTTCTTGCCTTTCCCAGCTGCAGAGGAGGCAGGCCCTGCAGAGCCAACAGGATGCACTGTGGCAGGAGCTGGAGCTGCTGGAGCCTGGCCAGTGACAGGGGTTGAGAGAAAGGGCATGGCCCAGAGCCCTGCCATGGAGCGAGTCAGACTCTGCTTCTTGCCTTTCCCAGCTGCAGAGCCAACAGGATGCACTGTGGCAGGAGCTGGAGCTGCTGGAGCCTGGCCAGGCCTGGTTTGCAGGCCATCTGAGGAGGCACAGCAGCGTGTGTTCTGTCTGGGGGCCCTTGGTGACGTAGGGACTGCCCCAGTGTGTGCGGGTGTTGGGGGGGCAAGGGTATGTGGACACAGCCTGACACCATCCTGGAAAGGCGAGAGTTAATGGTCAGGGATCAGGAACTGGAAGCATCATTATAATGAGAGATTTCACAAGTGTTAGGTTGGTGTTCATTGTTGGGACTGGAGGAGGCCAGTCTGCATTCCATTCAGATCACTCCATTCTGATGGGGGAGTGACCTGGGCTATTCCAATGGAGAGGGAGGATCCATATAGAATAGGGAAGGGGGTGCTGTGTTGAGGGGGGATGGGGGAACTGGGCTGTTAAAGAGATGGAATGGAGAATATTGCATTTCTCCACCTGCCTTGAGGGTAGTGGGATGAGGGGATCCAGAAGGAGAGGTATGGCCTGTGGTGACAGGAGAGTGGCAGATGGACCTCAAGTTTTGACCAAGTTGTCAGCCTCTAATTCCTCCTTTAGAATTTTCTAACACATTGACACTCAGAGCCTGTTGGCCCCCAGTTAGCCCAGATTCAAAGGGTGAACATCTCTTTGCAGAACCTGCTTCAGGGGAAGGTGAGTGTATTTTTAGTTTAGACTTCTGGGATGTGGGAGTAGAGAAGGGACTTGGGACAGCACTGGTATAATGGAAAACAGCAACCCCCTCCCCCCCAGTTCTCCCCACATTCCTTGAACAAGGCTAGTCTCTGTTGCTCCCAGGACCAGAAAGGAAGACCAACTAAGCAGAACTGGAAAAACAGGCAAACTGTAGGGGAGGAGGGGAGGAGGGCAGGAGCCCTGGCCCCGTAGTGAGGGAGGAACACTGGCAGCCCAACTCTCTCTCTTCTGCAGGAGTTCTCAAGGCAGCAGAAAGGAATCACTCAGACAAAGGAGGATATGGCTCAGCCCTGCTGCCCCAGTGGACAGAGGGGCCCTACCAGTGACTAAGGCCTCCTCTTGTTCCCCCCATTTGGTGGCAAGGGAGGCTGAGTCAGAACCCCCAGCTTCATTCTGCCTCTTGACCCAACAGCTAAATGGCTCCAGGTGGTGGTGGGTCAACTGAATCTTGGTGTAAAGTTTCTTCTCTGCTCCTTTTGAACTTCCATTTCATCTTGGTGTCTTAAGCCCTCACTCTGCCCTACATGATGTGCATAAATGATTTTTCTTTGAAATCCCTCTGGGGAGTAGACATGTTTATTTAAACTGTCCTTAAATTTTAAATACAAAAATAAATTAGAAGCTCTCCATAATTTCAAATAGAGACAATTCAATAAATAGCACTTTCTGGTACCCTCTTAGCCCCCTCCCAATCTTCATCTCCTCCTCATATATCTTCTCTACCTGAGCTTGGGAGGGCATGAATAAGTAGTGGCATAAAGATGCTACAGAGAAATAGAAAGCAGCTTACTCCAAAAATGAGTCTTTGGTTTGGTTACCACAAGGGTTAGGGAAAGTGCACTGTGGGAAAATCCATTGCCTTCCATCCAAGTCTCGCTTAGAAAGTGAAGAGACAAGTGCATGAGAAGGAAAACCACCATCCCAGCTGGAAGAGGTAGGTCCCTGAAGCCCAAGTAGCCTAGCCTTCTCACCAACGGGGCAAGGTTAAAAATAGCGTTGGAGCCCTCTAGGGGCTGTTGTGTCACCAGGAAACCAGGCCTAACAGGAGCAGCATCCCTCCAACTGTGCCCCACCGGGCGTTGCCCACCCTCCCCCAGCCCTCCCCCGAGTCGTCAAAGTAGAGGGAAGAATGGCAGAGCTGGAGGTGGTGAGGACGGGTTCAGACGAGTGGACAGGGGCAGCAAGCTGGTCCTGGGGAGAAGGAGAGACAGGGTGTCTGCGGGTGTCTGCACCCAAACTACGCCTACCTCGCCCTCCCCTTGCCCTGCTTACCCTGCGATGGGAAGTGGAGCGACTCACCTGCGGGGCCGGTGCCAACACCAGTAGTCGGAGGAAGGCATGGGTTGGGGGCCCTGGGCTGGCTTCTCGACCCATCGCAGTCACAATCACAGTCACCACGGAGTCCGGGGCGGCTGAGTCAGGAACTTCCAGCCACAGACTCCCCCAGGCGGACTCATTTGGTTCCAGGCAAACCCTGTCGAGAGTTACAGACCTGCTGCGGAAGTCCCAGGCTCTCAATGGCCCAGAGCCACCCGGCGAAACCGAGCGCAGGCGGGGAGGGGAGGAGAATCTGAGGGCCAGTCGGAACGGCCAGGGGCGGGGCTTAAACAGCAAGTACCTAATCGGGTGCCCTGAGAACCGGAAGGTGGGGCCAGGGGGAGGGGGTGAGGTCGGGGGCTTCACCTGGAGAGGTTGGAGGTGAGAGCGAAGCTGGGGTTGACAGATGTCCCAAGATCGAGATCCTGAGGGCCTGAGAAGCTGACGATGCGGAGGCTGAGCAGGGCCTTGCTGCCCGGGTCCAGGAAACGAGGGGGGCCATTGAGCTGCAAAGGAGGGCAAGTCAGGGGAGGAGCCGCTCCAACTCTCTCCATCCCCGGCTGCACCTTCTCCTTGAGTCTCACCTCCAGAAGGACAGGGACCACAGTGCAGGGCTGCGGGCCGCCCGGTGGAGGCCCCGCCCCCCTCCGTCCTGCCCAATCAGCTCCAGAGAGAAGGGTCCCGCAGTGGACAGAAGCGTGGGCGGTAGCGAAGCAGCGAGGAGACCCCGCTCTCGGTGTCCCACCACCTCCAAAGGCACCCGGCCCAGCTTGGCACCTTCCCGGACCCCTCGAAGGACGACGTGGGAGAAATGCGGCAGAGGATCTCCAGGGTTGCCTCTGGAACCGAGCCCTGTCACTTCTATCAGCAGCTGGGTCTGGAGACCTGGGACGGGAGGAGAGAAGGGGAGAACAATGGTGGCATGAAATTCAGAGACAGAGGAACGAATGAACAGCACTAGGGGCTGGAGTTACGTCTGGGGAGTATGGGTGGGGAAATTGAGGGATACTGATAGGAAGGGAAGGAAGGAGTTCTGGGATGCTGGAAATAATCTAAATCTTGAACTGAGTGATGGTACATGGGTGTATTATATGAAATCCATCCAGCTGTACACTTAAGTTTAGTGCACATCGTTATATATAAATTGTACGTCAATGAAAAGTTAAATATACATAGAATATGTATATAAATATATACTATTTATATATATACACACACACACACGTAAAATTAATGAACAAGTTGGGAGGAGGGGATAGATGTACCTGCAACTGGCTGGATCAGGGGCCAGGGTGGGGGCCATCCTCCATGGGGATCCCAAAATGGACGAGGAAATCCAGGGAGGTCTGGGCTGAGGAGGACAAAGGTAGTCAGAGACCTTCCCCAGGTGAATGTGACTGGTTTACTCTCTGCTCTGCAGTTCCTGCTTCCCTTCCCAGGAATATCTCCCTCCTTACCTTGCACTCTCACCCAGGGGATGCCCTTGGCTGTGATGTGGATCTCCCAAGTCCCTGTCTGTGGGGGGTCATTTATGGTAACCATCCAGAACTGCCCAAAGTGGTGGGTGTGGCCCAGAGGTCCCTCACCCTCCTCCTGGCCCTGGGAGATCCCTGGGTTGGAGTGGAGGAGCAAGAGATTGTTACATGAAACAATTCCTCGCCACAGCCATCACCTCTCATTCTCCATTCTCTAGTCTCCATTCTTCCCTCTGCCTTGAGATAGACTCATGCAAGTACCTGCAGGGTTCTTGATCCAGAAGCTGCTGACCTCTCTATGGATACGGACCGTGACCCTCCGGAACAGCCCATCCACGCTGAACACAAGTGGCTTCCCAGGCACTACAACAGGAGGTTCCAGGGGAAGAGTCACCTTGAGGGATGGGCAGGACCAAGAAATGGGAGAGAAGATAAGGCATGGAATGAGGGTGGATCAAAGACAGGAGAAAGGTGGAGATAGAAAGAAACTAAGTCATACATGGAGCAGGGATACCAGAGAATGGGGCACAGGACCAGGGATGAAGCTATGGTCATTGACAAAGAAGAAGACAAGGGATTAAGGATAGGCAATCACTTCTTGTCCCCCCCTTAAAAGAGGCAGGACTTCCTGTGGTAGCCTCAAGGATGGAATACTGGAGTCCAAGATTTGGAGGATGGGGTGGTACAATGTGGAAGGTGGGTAGCCATGGATGTCAGAGGGAGACCACTTCTTTCCCACCCTTCTGACTAGAATGGCAACATAACAATGAGAGCCATTCCCTTTTTCCTATGAGAGAAATGCAGTATCACCCATCCCCTCAGTTCTGAGCTGAAAGCATTGGTCCATCTGGCCCCACACCTACTCACCAGGTCAGGCATGCTGTCCCCAATGATGGCTGCAACATCCTGAATGTGCTGGTCTTTGGTGAATATCACCTCCCCTCCTGAGGCCAGGGCCACCACCTCATATGGCTCAAAACGCAAAGGGGACAAGACCTCACGCCTAGCTCGGCCCTGAACCCTTGATGGATCTTCAGTCACCAGAAATGTTACCTGTGTCCAGAAGAGAGACCAGTGGTGAGGTGTTCAACTGCCATTGACCCCAGGAGTTCCACAGAGCTGAAGATTAGTGGTAAGGCTTCTGCGTACCCTCTGGCTGCTGCTGCAGGGTGATCCAATGACACAAGGCCTCTGTTTCAAGCAACAGGTGCCACTCCCTTGTAACTGTCATCATATGTCATCCACATAGTGGATTGTTGGCAACTAGATCTCCAGTTCTTCAAATGGTTTACTGAGGGGGGCAGGTTCAAATATGAATTTGGCATCATTAACGGTAGGGCTTCACACTCTCTAATATTGTTAAAAGGATCAGGAAATATTACACCCATTGTCTGTCTCTCCCACCCCATACCAAGGCTGGTTGGACCACCACAGTGTGGTGTTAGGAGATTGCTGTCAGAGGGTCTCCCTCATCCTGGGGTGGCCAGCTCTGCTCACTCTGAAGCACCGCTCCTGAGTCAGGGATTCCACCCGGTGGGTGAGAAAGGCATCCTTGGGGGAGGTGTCAGTGAAGACAAAGATGTCTGAGAGTGGAGGTGTGTGCAGCAGGGCCAGCTGGTGGGAGGGAAAGGCCTGGTGTTAAAAAAAAAAAGGCAGCAGTTGGGGACTGGGTAGAGCAAGAAAGGGCAGAGTAGAAGGGATCCCTGGACCCCTGGAGTGAAACTAATAATGGAACTGAAGGTGGGGTAGGGGGTGGGGGTCCCAGGAAGGTTCTAACTCCCCTTGGTGGTGGGGCTTGGAAAGGAGGGGAGAAGCAGGGGCAGGGGAGGAGGAGGGTGGACTTCCAGGGCTGATAGGCACATCTCAGGTTCATCTCCACCCCCCAAGGCGTGGATCTCATTGAGTTGTTGCCAGAAGCTGTCAGGGTCACTGGTGGTAAAGACGGGGCCAAACCCTGGGGAGGAAGAAAGGAGGTTGTGATGAGTGAGGAGAGGGCCCCCCTCATTCCTACCCAGGACCACTTCCCCAGTCAAGAGGCCCGCTGCACTCCTGGGGTGGACAAATATTAAAATAGTAAGTATTCCCTTATGTTCATATGAGCAAGGCAGGGCAGGTGCTAGGCACCTCTGGTGAGAAAGTGGACCTAATTTCCTTAACAAAATTGTGGTACTTCCTGTGGTCCTGAGGAGGCCTTTGTTGGGTATGTGCATAAATTTTTAAAAACTGGGACTTTATTTTCCTCACCAGAAAAGCCAGAGAAATACTACTACTTACCTGAGAGGGTTATTGGGAGGACTAAATGAGTTGATTTTTGTAAATCTTAGTACAGTGCTCTGACACATAAGTACCAAATTCTTAATTATTCACAAATATGTGATAAGCCCTATCAAATGCCAGCTATTATGAGATTTAAGCAAGCAAATCAGACTCAAACCTTGCCCTTAGTGAATTCTCAGTCCTGTAGGCATTTTACGTCATGGTCATTTCAACCCTGGGAAGTAGGCAGATTAAGGCAAGTACTGACTGTAAGATAAATTCCAGCTGAAATAAGCAGGCGAAGAGAGGCAACAAAGGGCCAGGCAGTTTATTTGAATGCGATCCCAGGCGAAGTTCACCAGCCTCTACAGACGCAGGCTAGGGAAGTCGCACTCAGCAGGGCAGGCAGCGAGTTTTTAAAGAAGGTAGGGGGAGGCAGAGCTTAGATTTACAGCGGCGCGAGGATTGGCTGGCCTAAGGCACATTTTTCAGGTTGGGAGGGGACAGCAGCCGGGGACTTTTGCACGTCATCAGTGTGACATGTTACCCCTCCCCCTAGTGCCTTCAACCTTACACTGACCCATTTTGTGGATGATGAAATTGAGGTAGAGAGAGGTTAAATAACAAGTCTGAGGACACAAATTAAGACTGGCCAACTCTGGTCAGACAGTCTGATTTCCAAATCAGCAGGGAAAGGAACACAATATAACTAGCTGTCTCAGACACTTCACAGAGGCCTGGACCCACCAACCCCCACCCTTATCCCACCCTCTCTGTTGTAAGAAATGGAGAAAATTAAAAATGACTCATTGGTATGGAAGTCTAAGAAAGCAGAGACACCTGCCTGAACACAGATCATGATTAAAGTCATAAGGAAAGTGCTGCCATTTTAGAAACAGTGGAAGAAGTGGCCAATTGTTTCCTATATGCACACTCAGGACCATAGGAACTGCCAGTATTTTGCTAAAGAAGTGGAGCCATGAAACCCACTTCCCACCAGGGGCATTTACGCCTGTCCTGGACTTTCCTTCCCCCTACTATCCTGGCCAGACCACAGTTACTTGGGTCATGGAAAGGCACGAGGGTGTAGTGGACAGGCTCCATGGGGCTGCCCCGCCGCTGCTCCACAATGTGGCAAGCCTGGATTTTGACAGCGTTAATCTCCTCACCCATACTGCCCATTGTGTCCAGGACAAAGCTCAGGCTGGAGGCTGGGGTGATGTCCAGCAGCCTGGGAAGCAGGTCAGAGATCCAGTGATGGGTGTGCACATTTTTCTCCAGCCCCTGGTTTCTCAGCTCCCCCAGGGAGCATATGCTCATTAAGGAGCCCATTTCTGGGAGGCCACTCACCTGGAGAAACCCCTGTCTCCCAGGTGGCTTTGCAGAAGGCTGAAGGCCTGGATGGAGGCCAGAAGGGCCAGGTTTGCAGCATGGAGGTGCAACATATGGTGGGGCGAGAAGCCTGGGGATGTGCTGTCCTTGTTGATGCCTCCCCGTGGTGGCTGGGAGCTGCTCCAGTCAAAATGGCCCCCATGGCTACATTTCCCTGGGTTGGGGAAAGGGATCTGAAGGGTAGAGGTAAAAATTCCACTGCCTTCTAAGAAAATGATGCCTTTTCTGACTTGGCCTGACCCTCTCGCACTCCTGAAAAGGATCATCAGGAAATGATAACATTGTGTAGAGAGAAAAATTCAGAGTAAATCTGGAGGGGTCAGTCATCACAATACATGGTGGATCCCTGACCCCTCCAGTCAGTCCCCAAAAGCTGCCCAGGGGCAATAGAGAAGTCTCAGCAGCTGAGCAAGAAGCAGTTCTCTGTCCCCAACAATCACAGCCACCTTGGTGGGCCTCCATCCACCCACCTCATTCCCACAGCCTCTCTTTCTTCCAGGAAGTGATGTTACCAGAAATGGAACAACGGACTAAGATCCCTAGAGAGGTGGTCAGGGGAAGGAAGTGACTTTCTTTCTGAGGGATTTCCTGCCTGGTACCTGGAGGTTTGGCGGGATGAGTTCCAAAGTAGCCAGAGGTGAAGAGAGTGAAGCCCAGCAAATTCCCAGGGCAGCTCAACTCCTCACAGTCCGAGCAGGTAGGATCGCCCACTGGTAAGAGAGGGCAGCGGTCTAGAACCCAACCTTGATTCTGCCACCACTGACCTTCATTCCTGTCCACCCAAAATTCCTTGGAATTTTCTCCCAGCTGGAATAAGGTGAAAGCCCACAGGTACCCTCCTAGGCTTTCTGAGTTCATGGGCTGGCAAAGAGACTGAATATTTGAGACTAGGACTGTACTAGGAAACCCAGATGTGTGGGGATCAATCCTATGGGGATTGTGCCCTTGGTGAACTGTGGGCAGGAAGTGAATTTGTAATGGACAGGAGCTAACTTCTGAGTCACAGTTCAGATGGAAGGCTGAGGGGACTTTGGGAGAAGCCCCAGTGATCCATCTTGTGGTGGGGGAGGAAGCCACATGGAAGAGAGCTCAGCTGAGGTTTGCAAACCTGGTCCTGCCTCTGTCCTCCCTGTGTGACCTTGGGGAAGCCACCTACTGACTTGGCCTCTGGTTGGACTAGGGGATTTCACAGGTTGTTCCAGATATGAAACAATGTCACATCCTGTGTGACATGGTGGCAGGTGGACTGAAAAGAGGTAGCTCTGTGGGCTCCCCCCTAACCACCGGAGTCAATGCCATACCTTGTGCCAGGCTCTGGAATTCGTGCCTTGGCCAGAGGAGATGAGGGTGTGGCTGCTGCTTTCCCAGTTCCACCCAGTTGCTGTGACTATAGAAATCCTGGCCCCATAGGAACAGAGAAGGTGAACAAGGCACTAGCCTGACTGTACTCCCAACCTCCAGCCCTAGTTCACAGCTCTCTTGAATTCCCCACCAGGAAGGCCTGCTCCTGTCACTACTGCTCCTGTCAGACACCTGGCCCCTCCATCCTTCTCCCCACTGCCCAGAGCAGAGCTTTCCTGAAGAGGGCAGTTCCCAGTGTTTCTTCCCATGTCACTCAGAGCCCAACCAAAGGCCTTCAGTGGCCTACAAGGCCCACCTCTCTGGCCCAGCACCTTCTCTCTCACCCTCATTTCTCTCCAGCTGCAATGGCCTTCCGGCTATTCCCAGAGGAAGTGCTGGAGGTGGGATCTCAAGAACAGCCTGAGGACATTGGCAAGCAGTGCCCCAGTCCCTTCTAGAGTAGGGGAAGGCATGATTAAAAAGGCACCATGAGGAAGTCTCCATCTGGGAGACAGGAAAAGGAGAGGGGAAGACCCCTCTGTTGGTTATCCCAACCCTGTTCTCACCTGCAAGGCATGAAGAGCAGCCCCAAGGCGCTAGCGGGCCAGGGTGTGGTCAAGGGCTCTGGCTGCCACAAGGGTCTCCTGTAGAGCCCCCACCAGGCATCTGTGCCCCTGGACCAACTGCTCAGCATCAAAGTGCAGGTCAGGGTCATTCTTGGAAGTCGACAAGAAGTCCTGGGCTGCATTGGCATGAGACACCTCACCTAAGGCTGCTCAGAACCGCCGGGAAGGAGACCCAGGTCCAAAGTAGGCAGCAAAGAGATCATCGGCAAGGAGGGTGCGGCCCTGGTGAGAGTGGTAAGGGACAAGGGCTCCAAGGAAGCCCCTTGGATTGGACCATTGTCCATATTCCTTCAGGAGCTAGCACTCCAGGCTGAGTGTTGAAGGAAATGAAGATGCTGGGCCTACAAAGCAGGATCAATTCTGGATCATTCTCAGGCGGGGGGGTAGTGATCTCCCCTGATTTCAGGACCAGGACTCCTGGGTATTGTTGCTGCAGGGGGTATAGATGGGAAGAGTGGGGCAGGGGGGTGGCCCTCTTGGCAGACAGGCCCGCAGGAATAGAGGTCCCAGGGAACTGGAGAATCTGGCCGGGCTGTGACAGCACCCAGGGACCCTCACCAGGAAATCCTTAAGACGGAGCGGGGGCTGACCCGGAGGTGGCTGTTCCAGGAAGAGCTGCAGGGTGACATTGAGTGCCACCTCCTCAGTCAGGTCCTGGTGAGTGATGGAGCTGGGGGCAGCCAGGAGGCTCCAGATGCTGGGCAGGAAGGGAGCTGAGGGGGCCAGCAGGAGCTGCAGCAGGAGCAATGCGGGTGTATCCAGGGGATGCATGGCAGAGAACACGGGCCTGTGGGACAGAGGCTCTCAGCACAGAAGCAGCAGCCACTCCAGGGCGGGCCCAGCTACCTGTCGCCACAGACACCTTGGCTTAGCCCCTTCTACTTTGCCTCCAGCATCTGTGCACTCCAGACCAGCTTCCCTTATCAGGCTAGTAGGGCTGTACATCTGCAGGAGGAGACTGAAGCTCCCCCAGCACCCCCCCTTCTCACGCCTAGGCCGACACGCCTATGTGCAGTAAGCCCCAGTCTCCCCTCTAGGCCTCTTCCTACCTGGTTGCTGGGTCTTCAGGCAGGGCCACTGGGGCGTGGTGCTCACAGGGCACTTAGGTCAGAGTTATAATTAACCTAAGCAGAATTCAGCAGAGGGAGAGAGAGGCCCCGGCAGGGTGGGGTCAGAAGTCAGCCCCTGGTCCCTACAAGACTGCCCAAGGACCTAAGCGCAGGCAGCAGGGAGAGCCTCCCTGGGCTGCAGTGCGGAGGTGAATAGACAAAAGCCAGGAGGAGGGACTGTGCAGCGTGACTCAGGCCTGGCTCGGTGCCAGGACAGACCCAGACGGAGGCACCTGCCCATCAGGACCCAGGGCTGTGCACCCAGCCTGCAGCACTTCCCACTGCTCACCCGGCTTCCTCTGAGGATTCATGAAGCCAGCACCTCAGTGCCTTTTCCTGGCCCCACCACACACACACAGACAAAAGATGATTTTGTGGCAAAATATTTTATTGCTTGGTTCCCATGGTGGACCACTGGGGAGGGATGGAGTTGGATCATAACAGCATCGTCTGAAATAGCGTGATGGCCTCATCCACCTTCCTGAGCTCTGCTTCTGTCTGTTGGAGCTGGCAGTAGAACAAGGAGCAGGTGAGGAGTGAGGCCCCAGGCCCAAGAGAGAATGCCAAATGTTCATAATGGCAATTGGTATGAGTTGGAAAGATAGGTGAGGCCCAGGAGTAGGGAGGAATTCAGGGCTGTGTGCTCCCCAGCCTCTCCCTTCTCTTTCACTCCCACTGACCCCTAGGGTCTTACCCTTTCCCAGTGTGGCCAGGCCCCACTCAGGCCTCAAAGCCTGTATGCCCCACCCCACAGCCCCAAGATGGGCAGGAGAGCACAGTGGTTAGGGATACTTGGTCCTAAGCAGATACTGGGCCTTCTGGAGTTATGGTTCTCTGAGGTCTGGAGAACTGAGACAGTCCTGCTCAGTTGCCCAGGCTCTGTAGCCCTCAGCCCCCACTCCTGTTTCTCTCTGCACCCAGATGTCTTCCCAAGTACTCCCCCTGGGGGGGATCCCAAATGAGCCTGGGGGGCTTCCTGACTGCATGTGGTCCTGAACCCAGCCCCAGGCACCTGGGACACCGTATTCTGGGTGCTCATGGTGGTAGGAGGCACGAGGGGTCTGCAGGGAGGCAGGATACCTGGTTCTAGGTCTGCCTCTGTCAACGTGCTGTGTGGCCCTGGGCTGAGCCCTTGCCCCCAGCCATTCTTCACACTTAACAGCAGGGATTACCTTGAGCAGGGGGCTTGGAATCCCTGCTTCCCCAGGGACTGCCCAGGATGAGGCAGAGTACAGCTGCAGGACAAGGGTCTGATGACAGAGGGAACAAATGGTGCAGGAAAACGCCCACTCACACCACAAACCTTGACTTTGTCTGCCTCCTGGACTTCCATGGGCACCTTGACAGGGTAGTCTGAGACAGCACGGCGCTCCCGCAAACGCTGTGCCTGCCGCTGCGCCTCACCACGCTTGGCCTGCAGCTTACCCAGCTCCCGGGCTGGGTCCACCAGCCCCTGAAGCTGCAGGTGGACGGAACAGCAGTCAGAGGCAAGGGCCACTGCGCAACCCTGTGGTGCAGGAGCTCCCAGGGCCAGGACAGCCACCACACCCGCGCTGGCTAGCGCCTGCACGTAGCCTGACACTGCTGATGCCATGGCGCCTGTAGCCTCATCAGCCACTTCCAGGAAACCTGCCGGGGAAGGCAGCAAAGTGAGATTGCAAAGTGAGATCTGAGGGGAAAAGGAGAAAATGAGACGAGGCAACCACACCAGATACTGGTCCCAGAGTGGACTAAGAGGACAGCAGGTCAGGGTGAACGTGGGGACCTGAAGCTCACAGTCAGGCCGGATCCGGGTGAGGTTGTAATCGGCACGCAGGGACCGCACAACTCTTGTGATGCTCAGGGCCAGCTCTATGGTGGCTTCTGCCTCAGGGTCCTTCCAGGAGCACTGTGGGTAGCAGAGGGGGTTAGGGAGTCTGGGGGGCAGGCTGGAGCCTCCCTCCAGGTCATATCCCATACCTCTAAGGGCTCTGGGTAGGGGGTAATGCAGAGGCTAGGGGGAGCCTGTGGTATCCGCCGAGGCAGCCTCTGGAACAGCTCCTCAGTCACAAAGGGCATGAAGGGGGATAGCAACCTCAGGCCAACATCCAGGCAGGTGTAGAGGGTCTGGCGAGCACACTCAGCCGCCACCTGGTCCACTCCATTCAGCACTGGCTTCAGGCACTCCTAGGGGACAGGAAGGCACAGGGCTCCAGCCCTCACTCTGTACTTGTTAGGACAAGGGGGTCGGGAGACAGGTTGGCTCAGGTCTCATGGCCAACCACAGGCAAAGTGAGGCCCAGGGCTCTACTGTCCCCTACCCCAAACTCAGCTGCTCCATACCAGGTAGACATCACACAGCTCATAGAGCCAGAAGCTGTACTGGGCGGTGGTGACAGCTGGGAAATCATAGGCCTGGAAACCTTGGTTGCTGAGCCTCACAGCCTCGGTCAGCCGGCTGAGGATCCATCGGTCCACCAGGCTCTTGTGGCCTGCAGGCTTGGGCAGAGAGGGCCTATCAGCCAGGGGCCTCCAGATGCCCAGGGGGAGGGAGCCAGCACCCCACAGCAGGTGTGGGAGGAATCACAGCAAAACTGCAGTCTAGGTGCCTGAGGGGTCCAAGGCAACTGCCCTGTGTCCAGGATGTCCAGGACCTGGGGGGAGGGGACAGGCCCCCACCATCGTTGGGGAGGACCCTGCCCTGGGCTTTCCCTGTAGCTATCTGTCCCCTCAGCTACATGGAGGCTCCTTGGGGTGGGGGCTGTGATCCTGCCACAACAAGAGCCACACAAGATGCCCGAGTGGCAGGCACGTGGCCTGTGTGGGTACTGCCCACCTTGTCACCTGCCAGACCCTCACCTCGGAGGTGGGTGAGGGCACAAACCCCTTCCCAAGGCCACGGAGGGCAAACTTGGTGGCATTCCAGAGCTTGTTGCAGAAGTGGCGGTAACCCAGTATCCGGTTCACATCCAGGTTGATGTCACGACCTGGTGGGCATGAAGTGGGGGTCCTTACCATTCTCCCCCCAACCCATGCCCAGGGCAGATGGGAGGAGTGGGCCTCAGGGAAGGAGGAAGGACATGGCTGACAGAGGTTCTGGGGGCCATACCCTGGGATGTGTAGGCACACAGGCCAAACCGGAGAGCATCGGTCCCACACTCGGGAATCCCCGCTGGGAAGTCTGCCTTCTGCGGGGAGGCAGCAGAGGGAGGCGTCCTGAGCCGTCCATTCGTTTCCACCCATACGCCAGTCCTGGGCCCACCCTCTGTACCTGTCCTTCTTTAGCCTTCTCCACCTCACTGGGATCCAGGTTGCTGTTCAGTAGCTGCTCATGGAGGCCCTAGGGTAAGGTGAGAGTGGTCAGGCAACAGTGGCAACAGCCCCACAGGCCTTCTGGGGCTGGCACAGTGCCCAGCCCCACCTGCAGGGAGACTCCGTGGACAACATCCAGGGGGTCAATAACATTGCCCAGAGACTTGCTCATCTTCCGGCCGTGGGCATCTCGCACAATGGCGTGGAGGTAGACCTGCAAGGCAGGGAAAGGGAAGGCCCGTGAGGATCTCTCCACCCAGACCCCAATGCCTACCCCAGGGCCCTGCATCTGGTCCACTCCACTCTGAACCTCAGGCCCCTGCCAGCCCATTCAACACTTCATGTGGTTAGAGGTACTCCCTGCTCAGGAGGCCAGGGCCAGGAATCACTGAGCAGAGTTTGGCTGGCTTTCAGCCCCCACAAATACCCACTGGACCAGGCCTGATCATGGTACAGGAGGGAGGGTGAAGGTGGGGACTATGGGAGGGGTCTTGGAAGCCTTTATACCTCTCTGAAGGGCAGCCTGCCGGTGAGTTTCAGGCCAAGCATGACCATCCTGGCCACCCAGAAGAAAAGGATGTCATGGCCCGTTTCCAACAGCGTCCCCGGGTAGAAAACACTCAGATCTTCGGACTAGGGGCAGAGCTGGGCATGAGGAGAACAAAGCACCCACCTGCAAGACCCCCACCCTACCCTGGGGTGGCTCCAGAAATTTACCTGGTTGGGCCAGCCCAGGATGGAGAAGGGGAAGAGGCCAGAGGAGAACCAGGTATCCAATACATCCTCATCTGAGGGAGACCAAAGGTCAATGTCAGAGGGGGCAGAGATGAGGATCAGGGTCCAATCTTGCCCCCCACCTCCAAAGCCCCGCCTTGCCTTGCTGCAGGCTGATCTTGTCAGGAGACACTCTGAACTCCTTGGCTGCCTTCTCCCGGGCCTCAGCCTCACTGCGCCCACTCACCCAGTACCGCCCATCGGGGTCCTGACACAGATGGGGTAAGTATGGAGGGGGTGCCTCTGCCTCCCCACCTCCCCCAGGACCCAACCCACCCACAGCTCCCAGAGATGTGCCATTCTCCAGCTCTGGTCAGTCCTTACCTCCCCTGGGGGCACAGCCGGGTCGCTGACAGTGATGAAGTAGGCTGGGATACGGTGGCCCCACCACAGCTGCCGGGAGATGCACCAGTCCCTGCAAATGGTTGGGGCAGAGGAAGGAAATTAGGCAGTGGAGGGAGGTGCCCGAGCCTGTGCCCTGCTCAGCCCATCCCTGTCACCCTCCCCATGTCAAGGAGCCTCACGCACCGGATGTTGTCCATCCAGGCATGCCATGTCCTCTGATGGGCCTCAGGCAGGATGCAGAGGTCGCCGCGAGTCACTGCAGCGCTGGCAGCCTGGGCCATCTCCCCACAACGCACGTACCACTGCGGCCGCAGCAGAGGTTCCACCACGTCCTTGGAGCGGCTGCAGGTACACAGCGTGGAGGATGGTGGTGAGGACCCTGAGGAGCCCTCCCCACCCGCTTACTGGGCTCCCACCTCACTTGCAAAGTGGCACCACCATGGGGTTATCCTCCATGCCACGGAACAGTCCCTGCTCCTTCAGCGCTGCCAGCACCACCTTCCTGGCCTCAAACCTGGGTAGGCCCTGGGCAGGAGACAGGCCCCGTCATGGCTGTGCCTAGGCACTGCCATTACGCACCCAGCCACCACGCCCCAGGCAGTCTCACCAGGAAGGGTGGGGGCACGTTGACAAGGGACCCTCGGGAGTCCATGATGCTGACGGCCTCCAGCCCATGTCTCTGTCCAACCTCATAGTCATTCTGGTCATGTGCAGGGGT